AAAAAAAAAAAGAGAGAGAACAAAAATGTAGAAGGACTGTACACTTCACACGAGGGAAGCGAACGATTTCATCAGGTGTAATTGTACATTCACGCATCAAATGAATAATGAGTCAAGTTACAAACATCACCTCAAAAATTAGCCTGATCCTTAGAGAGAGAGAGAAAAATAAATAAATAAATAAATAAATAAATAAATAAATAAAACTTACATCAATGAATAGGACAAAGGTTTGTACACAAAACAAGCTCCCAGCTCTTGTAGTGTAACTTGTAAAACCGAAACAACTATCAATGTGGGATTTGCAATTTTGAGAGGTCGATGGATTGTTTTTGAAGGAATTTGCAATTTTGAGAGGTCGATGGATTGTTTTTGAAGACAGACTGTTTCAATGATATTCTTTAGTATTAACACAAAATAATAAATCACTAGGACACAGTTTACAAGATTGACTTAAAGGCATGGTAGCTAAGCATCTCTCAAAAGCCAGAAGTTAAAGATACCTTATCCATGAGCCAGTACCCAACTGTTGGAATATACTGTACCAGGTACATGACCGCAAGCACAGGCTGCAACAAAACAAAGTAGGGAGCTGAGAAAACAAGCAGCATAACAGCAAAGAAATTCAAGTACATTGAAACATACGATTAACTACAAAAACTACTCCTTAGATTTAGTCTAATTACAAAAATATTCCACTCATTTTTAAAGATCCCATAATGCCCTGTTATTTTGTCAGGGGTTTATCATAACTTTGAGAGATAATTCGGCTATTCAGTGATTAGGATAAATCTCAAAGTATTTTTTGGAATCGTCCCACAGAGACTTGAAAGAGCTGATACAGGCTAAGCTGTTTCTGTAAGTAGTCTCTACAATCCATGTTAAAGAACAGTCCTTTTAGAAGATAGAGCTAATTAATGAGCAAACCTGATATGATATCCAGGCTTCCTTCAGACCATGACTTGCAGCAATTATGGTGAGCTCTGCACACCTCTCTGATGACACACGCTTCTGCAGATCAATGGATTTTTATATGTAAGTGGAAATTCAAAGGTCACAAGCTGAAAAGATTTTCAACACAGTATGCAAGAGAACTTCAATCAGGGAGAGGCCATATGACCTAAATAATCATTATATATGTACGTGGAATTTAGAAGGTCGCTAGCTGGAAGATTCTCATTTCTCAGCAAAGTATGCAAGAGAACTTCAATCAGGGAGAAGTCATACGACTTAAATAACCATTGTACACTAAATATACGTGACCCGCAATATCTAATAGCTAGGTTTGGGCTTGCTACATAAGTTGCATTGGGCAAGAGTAGCAAAGACAGTCAACGATCTTTACAAACGGAAGAAGTAAGATCGCAGTTGTCATTTAATAGTTCTTAGCTTATAGAAAAAGCAAACAACATGGTTGAGACATTAATTTAGATCCTTCTCCCCTTTTATTTCACCAAGGAGCCAAATCTCTAGTATAACACCCAGAGAGGATGATAAAGACCAGATCCCCTTGGCATTCTTGGAGAAATATGAGCGACGTCGACGTCACGCATGAGTTTTGCATGGATTGTGTGCATGACTCTTATGGCACGATAGGTATAATGGAATGGGATTTCGTAGGAATGGAATGAATTGAAGATTGGAATGATTAAGGGAATAGAATGAAACAAGTTTTGTCATTTATGTGTTTGGTAATTGGTATGCAGAAAGAATAAGACTTGAATGGAATGACATTATCATTTTTTATTATAAAATAAATAAAAGCTTTTTTTAAAAAAATAATATATTTTTAATAAATTATATATAAATGATTTTTTTTAATAATATATAAAAATCACATAACGTATTTTTAATAATATAGAAATAATATATTTTTAAAAATATATAAAATAAAATAATATATTTTTAAATTATATATGAAAACTAATATATTGTTAAAAGTAATATATTTTTAATATATAACAAATAATATATTTTTAATAATATCTAAAAATAAAAAGTAATATATTTTTAATAATATATATTTTTATTTTTAATAAACAATAAATAAAAGTAAGTTTTCAAAGTTTTATTTGAATTTTACTTTTTAAAATAATATATATTTTTAATATTTTTTAATAATACATTTTTAATATATAAAAAATAATATATTTTTGATAATATATAAAAAAACAATATATTTCAAATTATATAAATGCTTCTTTTAGTTTTATTTTTATATAAATATTTAATATATCTAATTAAACAATAAACAAAAGTAAGTTTTCAAATTTTTATTTGAATTTTATTTTATAAAATGATTTTATTTAATATATTTTAATCATGATTTAATTGAAAAAATGATTTCTACACACATGGGAATGAGAAAACTTTCCATGAAGTATGGAATGGCTAATCCCATGGAGATGGGTTTTGTCATTCCCCTTTGAATGATCATTCATTTCTAAAAAATCTACCAATCATGGGATAAGGAATGAGTAAGGAAATGGTCATTCTATTCCCATGTCATTCCTTCTTACCAATCATGCCATTAGTATTATTATTATTATTATTATTATTATTATTATTATTATTATTATTATTATTATTATTATTATTATTATTATTATTATTATTATTATTATAAATCGGATCAAAATAATTACAAGAAATTGGAGGGGAGCCGAGATACTATCTGGGCCCCCGCTCCTTTATAAATCGGATCAAATTATTATTATTATTATTATTATTATTATTATTATTATTATTATTATTATTATTATTATTATTATTAATGACTAAGTGACGCAGCAAAAGCAAGAACGAGAAGGAACAAGATATTAAACTCACGAATCGGTTTTTATTTCTTCTAAAAACTGAACTCGACTCTGATGCTCCAAATGATAAATAAGAAAGAGCCCTCAACTTCTAAAATTCCTATTTAGGCTAACAAGAAGGAATAAGGCAAACAAATAAATACCTACCTTCTAAAAATTGGAAATAAAGGAAATAATAGTAATAATAATAAAATTAGGCATAAATAACTTAGACTAGAGAAGCCAAACGATCGTGCCGATCCAAGAACGCGAGGGCAATCTCGTCTTCATCGTGGAATTCTAAAAATAAGTTAGAAGATC